CCTTCGTTTCGCTCCGACGAAGGGCTAACGCTCGAAATGTCAGCTTTTGTAATCATTACTGTGGCCAATTTACCATTTCAACTTTGTTTATATATCCAAATTATTTCGTTACTCCCACCGACGCAGCCCCAAACAGTTTCTTTCGAAACTATCAGCCTTTAATCATTAATAAAAGCGAAACTCGGAGCAGCTCTTTTATCATTTTGGTATTGATGCTGTCTGCATTAGCGACTAAGTTGTGATGTGCGCGTAACATTTAGACATGTTCAACCATAGTTACTATGGTTCAACTAATTCGCTAGCTGTATTAAATTAGAATAGAGATAAACCTTGAGATTAGATTTCAAATAATATGTGCTCACCTGTAGCCAGAGGAAGAAGTTCAGCGAGAAAAACTATGCGGAAACAAAGCTCGAGATTAAATTTCGACATGTTTCGAGCGAAACTGTCACGGAATACCGCACGATTGTTTTGCATGACCGGCCATTTGTAACAGAAAGCTAATCCGACAAAAGATGTCTTTGTTTTTGAAAATATATGAACTTCATATATTTCATTGTATCTGATTTATCACTTTCACGGGTTTATTACGAATCAACTTAACGGCCTGCTCCCAGTTGGCTTGTTAGCTCACTTGGTAGAGCGCTGCACTAGTGTCGCAGAGGTCAGTGGTTCGAGTCCTGTACAGGCCTGATTTTTTTCAGGTCTGATTTTCGCTATTGCTTTAATAGCGCTATCTACTGCGAGGATCTTGCATCATACGTAATTTCTGTTTGTTCGTCAGTTTAAATTTCACTCTTTGATGCTTTGTTGTGCCCTCCAGGGTTATCAGCTGTTAAGGTGAAAACTGCCTCTTTACAAAAGTTCTTTGAGGAAAATTGAGAATCCATAATACTTAATCCTTACCTCGTTATGCATACAATTCTTTGGTGAAAAACAACAGAACATCTGCGATTAACTTTGTCTCAGAAGAGTATCGGGTTAAATAGAAATCTTTGCACTAAAGTGCATAGCTAAAATAAAATAAAGTAAACAGTACTCGTAGAATAATTTTCAAGGGCCCTTTAACTTGAAATTGAGGCAGATGTTACCACCTGATAACTCTAAAGAAACATAGTTGTTTCATACTCTGTCTGTTTGCTGAATGATTTAAAGTTTAAACTGAATGCTGTGAGTTTCTCTTTGCTTCCTCACTGGGAAAGTTACAAAAGCATAAAGGTTTTTAACTTTCCGGTTCGTTGTAAGGTGATATTTTCATGAGAACTGTGCGAAAACCGGAACAGCTCTTTTATCTTTTTGGTATTGATGCTGTCTGCATTGACGATTAAGTGACGTCGGTGTGAGGGAGTCTGAGGACCGATTATTTAAACAAAGTTTAGCCGTTGTTTAACAAAACCGCGTTCAAAATTATCTTCATCGAAGCCGAACCTTTTATCTGAACATTTATTTTTTTTGTGAACAGTGACGAGAGGGCCGAAAACTAACAGTCGGAGGACTTTTATCTCATCACTGAGTCAACCCTTTAACTGAGAATAGCTGAGGCCCATTGCTTAGGTTAAATCGCGGTTTGGGTTAGACCTCGTTTGAATAACAGGCGTTTGGGCTTCAGGACTCAAAATTGAAAGATGTATACAACCAATTTCGCTAAATTCGATAATTGAAGTAAAAGAAAACGTTGTTGATGCTGCCTGCATTGGCGATTCATGAAGTTGTGATAGGGTGCGGAAGTCTTAGGCTTTAGAACTCAAAGGTGAAAGATATATCCAACCAATTCCGCTTCATTTAGTCATTAAAAGGATAAAAAAAAGTTACGAGTAGATTTCAAATGATACGGTGCTCACCTGAACCCAGAGGAAGAAGTACAGCGAGAAAAGCTACATGGTAACAAAGCTCGAGATCTAATTGCGCCATGTTTCGAATGTGAGTATGTCACGGTATACGATCACGATTGTTTTGCCATTTGAACAGAAAGTTCATCTGACAAAAGATGTCTTTGTTTCCCACTATTCAAGCTCGTCTTTGTGTAATTTGTAAACATATCGTTAATACATGTAAATCTGTGGTTGTCAGTCAGTTTATGTTAATTCTTTAATAATGATATATTTTAGCTCTGTTCTGTCTCGGTTTGTTCGACCTTTGAATCTATGGATGTACCATTAATACTTATATGACTGGGATTTTCTAGTAGTTTCTAACAGAACCAACATAAAGGGCGCGCTCTGATTAGTCGATTCATTGTCTATTTATGGCCCATGGGTGTTTGTTGCTAACGTGAGCAAATGCATTGAATAGTCATCGCTATATGCGTTGTTAGCGAAGCGTGAGGTCAAGAGTGCTGCATATTGGCCGAGTTCTTTCTTTGGTGGCGGTGATATATTGGTCTCCTCTCAGCACAAGGAAAAATAAAATGGTTGATACCCTGACACGTATATAGAAATCACTTACATATTTTAACCGCGGTGTACTGCATACATTTGACATGTAATCAAGTGTCAGGAGTTGGTAAGACGTGAATCGATCGTGGGTTCCTCTATTTAATTTATTGGGTATCGGATGCCGCATCACAAGCAAAACGTCTTGGCAGTCTTATTCACAAGGTATCAATCAACAAAAAAATGTCAGGCTTCTTCGATATTCTGATTGGTTGTCTAGATAGTAACATCTAAAGTTGGAGTTGCTAAAAATATGCGAGGCGTGTTGCGTAAATGGACGCAAACAAAAACGTGCATTTTCCTCGTAGGAACATTGGCTAAATCCATTCCTGAAAAAACGGCGGCAAAGAAGCCATCATGTATCTTCAAAATCGTTTTCTTGAACGTCCAAGAAACCTTTCGCCATAATCTTTCTTGTAGTAACTTTCAATTTTTGCCCCCCTGACGACCTCAGGGACGTTTGCGAAAACACAAGGAT